TTTCCTGCTTAATAAGTAAGGCAGTTGAAGTAAAAGGCGGAATTTTTCCCAGTCTAGGGGGATTTTATTGCTGCCAATAATTCAACGGAGAGACATGACTGTTACCCCGGGGAGTCATAATCAACATCACCTCTCTGAGACAACCGTTTCGCCTTGAACTATCTCGGAAGCTCGTGGTCCCTTAACCCAGCACCTTCCTTCCTTCACCCTTAACTCAACCCGAGTACTGTGATAAACCCAGTACCACCAGATCTGGCTCACGCAAACCCGGGATACGAAGGAGCAGCCCTAATCAGACCAAAGCTAGCTAACCCGTCTGACCCTGACTCAGACCTAACTCGACCTGACCTTGCCTCGAGCGAGTCGGTCAGATGTAAGCGGGAAGTCGCTCTCTCTGGCCATCACGTTGCGCTGCCCCTGCCCCTGCCCCTGCCCGCTTTGTCTCTGTACCGGAACAGATTTTCTACAGTACACCCGCGGGGGGTTATTTGTACCGGTACAGTGAGCGGTCTGGTCTGATCTGGTCTGGGGAGGCGCCCTCTCCCACCGACAGCGTCCGCAAATTTCGGAATCGTGTTTAAATCCCCATGGCCCCTACTTCGACTCCAAGCGTCGCTCTGGAGCCCTGGAGTCTCATAACCACGTCATGGATCTGAACCAGGGCAGGTTCGCAGGTGCGAATCCGGAAGTTTCGTTGCTCGTATACCAGTCTTCCACCAGGTCAGCTCATCAGCTCAGCTCTCGCTGCCTTGCCTTGCTTTGCTTTGCTTTTCGTTCGTTGCTTTTTCCTGCTTTCTGCCCGGATCCGATCTTCGGGGCTACCATCTGCAGCTCTGCTAAACGATGTTATGCCCACCTTTTCTACTTTACGCTTTCTTCGAACCACCGGGTACTTCCCTACATATTCGATCTGCTCAATTCCCGTGCTGTCTTGGAAAATCATTTCAATGATTGAGGTTTCAATGAATGTCGGTATACCATTTCATTATGACAATTTTGGTTCACATAATTGTGGTTTATAATCATCACTATCCTTTCCATTATATGTCTTTCCTGCTCGCTGAAGAAAATATATGATCGAGTCTTGTGAAGACATTCTTACCTGTGGAAAAAAAAATGTTAGCTTCGCTGAAAACACAATCACATAAAATTTAACAACATTTTGTAACATCACTATGGATTGATTTGTAATCAGATGATGTGACAGTTTCAGATTTGCATTGATTACATCATTTTAAAATACAGTTCTTTATCGTTCTGTTTGGTAGATATCTACTTTTCTTGCAATAGAAATGTATAATAGTTTTCAACAAATAGGATGTGTATAATATCGAATTTTGAATTTCATGTTGAATATCAATCCAATTTATTTGATTTTTTTGGATAAAATCAAATATTTTCTTATAAACCGTGTTCTTTTACAAACACTAGTAGCCACAATGAACTGTCCTGACGATAAGAATCGTTGCATAGAGAGATTACAAATTATATAAATATGAAACAAAGAATTCTTAGATCCGCAACATCTAATCGATATACACATAGATGATGTATAAATTTGATTTTAATTTTACAGATGAATTAATAACATTTCAATCATTGTAATTTATATTTTAAAATTATATAACAGCTTTCATTTCACTTTAATATTATAAAATATGAATGAAAATTGTTAGAGGTTAAATGTTACTAGATTTAGTAAAAGGGGAATATTAATTCATTTTCATTTCCTTGTGATCTAGGCACGGCCTTAAGTGATGCAAGAACAAAGTGAACTAAATCTGGCATGACTTTAATCATCAGACAATGATCTAATTTTTGAAACTCTTTGTTTTATTATATTAATGAATTATTTGTTACTTAAAATATTTTTTTATGAATAAATGAAATAAATTATTTCCACCACATTACTATCTGTTAGTTTATTTTACATAACATTTTTATAATCGAATTAGATTTAAAATCACTTGAATAAGAAATAAGGGATTTTTTTCCAAATATTTTCAAATGAAAAATTCAATCAATGTAAATTTGAATCGAGAAAATGAAGCTTCTTTCTTTTAGTTAGCTCATATTTATTTTAATATCTTATTAAATATTTGAAAAAAGTTAAAATAAATATCGCAAGTAAAGTGGAAAATCATGAAACTACACATGCATGTCTAGAAACAATATGAACATCTCCGGATTCTACATTGTAATTGGTAAAAAGAAAAGTTGATCATTAATATTTTTCCATCATAAAATAGCAGTCTTGAATTACATAAAGTCAAAAATGTAAATAATTTTTTTTTCACCATGAAATACATATTTTTTGGTGGTTAGGAGACCAAACAACTTAATACTTATTTCAGATCATTTTTTATAATTTAAAGGATTTTTTCAAGATTCAACATTAAGAAACACCTTCATTAGTGAAGTCAATCCATTCTTCAAAAAATATTTAAATTCGATTCTATAAAAAATCAAAACATTATAACTAGAAAACTAAACAAAAAGATCTGTTATAAAAAGCTGCTAAAAAGGGGTTCACTATGTGTCTTTGCATATCCTGCACGTGTTGAGAGAGAGAAAGAGAGAGTTTAGGTGTTGTCTCTCTAAACAATTCATCATGGAGTTGTTAACTACTTATGCATATCATACACTTATCTAAACCTTAAAAAACTTATACACTATTTAGATAGAAATTCATTAAAAAAAACGTCCGAAATCCAGAGTGGCATATGTTAGTTATACATGGTCCGAAGCGCGAGAGGTTACGATGTGCTAGATGCCAAATGTCAGCTAAACATCATCTTCATTGGGGTTCGAGAAAAGTTCATTGCTTGGAAATGCAGTCATAATAAAACTCAAAAGTAAGCAAGCTCTGAGCTAAGGAATTAACAATGTGTTTAGCTGAACGAGTATAAAAAAGCAAGCTGACAAAGGAATGCAGTGCCGAATTAGAGAATTCGGATGCAATTCTCAGCATTCTGCCGTTTGCTGGAAATGGTTAATCTGCCGAGAGTCACAACTAAATAGAATTAGGACGCTAAGCTTGTGTGTAAGGGTTGGGCCGGCACGAAGTTCACAACAGATTTGTGTGATGCTGCGATTCTGGATTCTAGGTCCATGACGAGAGGTCAAATATAGAAGCTAGGAATAGGGAGCATCAAGGATGACGGATGGCACCGATCGAACATGGCGATGCTCGGAGGCTGCGTTGTTACTCCAAGGATGGAGCATGATGTCCTCGACCTCGAGCAGAGGGGCGAATATGTGCTTGACTTTCGTCAAGCACTTGGCTCTGATTCTCTCGCGCATGCTTTTCAGCCTAAATTTAATACTGATCAGTTTGGTGTGAGGAAGAAGATAGAAATCAGACTCAACTGTAGTCTTGCTGATATTGTTCCCGATTTTCATATTGGACGCCATGGGCCGAATCGGATAAAGCAAGCGGTCAAATATTGCTCTCGCATTCTTGCTGACAACGAGGGCGAGCGCATTAGATCTGCTCGGGCTCTGATCAGATCGCCGCTAGCTGCTGCTGACTCAAACTGATGCACAAAAAACACATCAACCGCTCCAGAATATAGAAAGAAAATGCCGGCAATGCTAAGGCAGCAGGAACAGGGCCGCACAGGACGATCCACGGCCCAAGCAATAGAAACGAGGACGCAAATGGAGGAACGGAGGAGGAAAACGAGCCATGTCGCAATCCGCCTCCTTCCTCCTTCCTGGCTTTGGAGTACGGAGCTGCGATGGTACCGCCCGCATGCATGCGAAGAAATTGTGGGGCGATGGAATCAAGTGGGGGCGAATTTCATATGCCCACCACCTCCTCCATGAACGCATGAGTTGGGGGAGGGGTGCATGTGCGCGAGTGAGCGAGTGGTCGATCGATCGAGTTGCATGATAGTGAGATTCATACAATTCGAAGCTCCATAGCTCGAAGCGAGAGCATGGACGACTTTGGGGGACGGACTTGAAATCGTCGCAGGATCCGCGCCTGAGCTGGGGCTGGGCTTGGGGCTGGGCCTGGGCCTGGGGCTGCCTGGCTCGCTCGCTGGCTTGCCTGTCTGCCTGCCTTGCCACGAAACCGCCTGCCCGGGTCTGCCCCGCCCGGGCCCGGCCTTCGCCTTGACCCTGGCCCTAGCCCCTCCCCGCGTCGCGCTACCCGTACGGGGGGTAGTCGCCCTTCATGGCCCCGTAACCGACGAGCGACGTAATGACGGTCGTTTTCGCGGTGAGTCGAGGCGAGAACGGAGGAGGGAGGGAGGGACTGACGGAGGAAGGACGGACGGACGGAGAGCTGCAGACATCGGAGGGTACTCGCCCTTCATGGCTCCGTAACTGACGAGCGACGTAATGACGGTCGTTTTCGCGGTGAGTCGAGGAGAGAACGGAGAAGAGAGGGAGGGAGGGACGGACGGACGGAGGGAGAGCGGCAGACATCGGACGGCGGATGGGGGTTGGGGCAGAAGCTGACAAGAGTAGAACCCGTTGGGGTGGGGGCTGGGGCTGGGGGTGGGGGAGGGCTTCCGTTGAGCTTCCGGGCACGAACGGGGGCTGGGGGTGGAGGAAAAGCGAAGCGGATGGGGGACGGGGGAAGACGGGAGGGGATGGCGGAGGGGGGAGGGGGGAGGGGGAAGGGGGGAAGGGGACCCGAGGAAGGGCACGCCAGAAACGACGGCCAGGGCAGAACGAGGGGGTAGGGCCCGGACCCAAGGTGGCGTTGGATCTTACGTGCGGAAGATTGCAAAAGATTTTGAAAATCCGGCGAAGATTTGGTTTGAGTGAATGAGTGAGATGTGGTGTGCCGCTTTTCCCACCCCTCGGCGTAAGTTGTCTGCCCCGGAGCCAGAAGACTTGGAGCTCCCCCCCCCCCTTTCCCCAAAGAGCTCGAGGGTGGAAACGTAAAAGTGAATTCTGGGTCGCCTGCAGCGCCGAGCAGAGCCCCCTTTGTTTGACTTGCGTTTGTTTGTGCGAGCGCAGCCGGCCAAGCCAAGCCACAAGGAGGGAGCGAGGGAGCGAGGGTAAGGAGAGAATAGTGGCAGTAAATTTGTTTGTGGCGGATTCTGATCTCATGGATCGTACGCAGTAGCCGGAGGAGGGGAGCCCTGGAGCAGCAGCAGCAGCAGCAGCTGGACGACGACGAGGCAAGCCAGCTTGGATTCGTTACGTGTGCGAGTCACGCTCAAATCCCTTTGTCCGCCTTTTGCCTCTCTCACACCTGGGGCCGAGGCAAGCAGATCAGATCACACTCTGAGCCGAGCAGCTCAGAATAGCCCGGGCCTGCTTTTCTTTCGCTCTATCTTTGTAGTTCTTGAGCGTTCGCGAGCCTTCTTCTTCTTCTTCTTCCGCATCTTCTGCGCTCCATCCGGAGTCCCAGGAGAGCAGTGCGTTCGTTCGTTCGCCTTCCTCCGTTCGAGTTCTCAATAGATCAGGCGCCGGGACTAGTCCACTCTGCCACCACCACTTGTGATCACCGCAGCATCAGCGAGCAGCGCATCAGTAGCAGCAGCGAGTGGGGAGTGAGTGAGTGAGTGAGTGAGTGTGTGCGTTTGACCTCGAGCTAAACGCATTTTTGATTCTACTGCTCACATCCCGCCCCAGCCCGCCTCAGCCCACCCGTCTCACCTGATCCCTTCGTCCCGTCCTGCGCTCCTCGTCCGCCTTGATACACGCATTTGATTCTCCACCCGTGCTACCACACACTTTCGCCAGCCGCGAGTTCCGTCGTGTTTTCTGTACAGCCCCGCGCGCCCCTTGCAGAGATCCAAAGGGGCATTCTGGCCCGTGCAAGAGCGCTCTGTGCTGTGCTGTGCTGTGCTGTGCTGTGCGCGTCATACTTCGAGCATTCGTGCGCCCTCGCCCTGCGCCTTTCTTTTCGTTTTCTGGTCGGATATTGCCCCACGGGGGTTGACAATTTGCCTTCCCGGAACATTCACCAGCCCCACCGAGAGAGATCCTTGCGCAGTTGACTTTGCGCTCAGATAAGCCGTGTGCACAGGGCCCGGGAATTCAGTCCCCCACTGCCACTACTTATGGACCGTGATTGATAGCAGAGTCGGGTTGTCTCCCAACTCGTTCGTTGCAGGAAGCAGGAGCGTGTTCCCAAGCTATGGAAGCTTGTTTGAAAGAACTAGAAAGTTTGCTGAGGACGACGGTGGTTTGCGGAGCGCATCTTTTCCAGGGGTGCGACATCTAGTGGTTTAGTCCGTCTTCAGATCGCGCGCAGGCAGCTCCCCTGCATGCATGGGCGTTTCGAAGGCGTAGCAGGACAGCAGGAAGTTTCAAGCGTAGCAGCAGACCAGCAGCGCGCAATGGTGAGGAGAAGCGTAGAGGACGCTAGTTCCGATTGCAGCGTGTTGACCAGTAGCAATTCGGTGGACACCGTAGAGAGCCACTGCGCCCCAGCTGAGATCCATGTCTTGGCTGTGGACGACAACAACCTCGATCGTAGATTGATCGAGATGCTTCTGAAGACGTCATCATTCAAAGGTTAGACCCTCTTCACACGAGGATTATGTAGGAATTGCATGCATCAGTGCTGGACTTCAAAGCTGTCGGTTGATCGGGCTTCCCCGTGGAGCAGTCTTGTCTGCCATGAATCCAAACGGCTTCTGGTCTAGCGTGCTTGTTTGTGTATACGTCGGTTAGCCTCTAGCGAGATGTCAAAGCCAAGCCTTTTTACGGATTCCGATGATTAGTGAACAAGTTGAGGCAGGTCGTTCCCGCTTGTTTGGCTTTTATCGAGTTTCTTGTGACTGTTGAATGGATCAGTGAGCTGTATGTGCTTCTGTACTAATTGGGTTCTCCGACGTTTTGCCACCTTGCAGTAACGACGGTGAATAGCGCTGTGAAAGCTTTGGAAGTTTTGGGTCTGGTGAAGGGCACATCTGCTAGCAACTCGAAGGTACTTTTTTCCTTCCCGAGGTCTCCGATTCGATGCGAATGCTGATTCAGTCGTAATGTTTTGTAACTAGTCTCGCGAGAGTCATTTGCTCATCTGGTTGCTACGTTGCGCTTGACAGGGTTTTGAAGTGGATCTCATCATCACAGACTACTGCATGCCGGAGATGACTGGCTACGAGCTTCTGAAGAGAGTGAAGGTAAGATTGTAGTCCTGGCCCGCTGAGATTCTTCTTGCTCGTCTTCCTTTCTCGTGTACATGTTATGTCTGCAGCTCGAGCTTCTTCTTCTCTTCACTCCTCCGAGACACAGGAACTCATCAAGTTTTTGTCCTTGCAGCAAGAAAGTTCTTCCCTGAAGGAAGTTCCAGTCGTGATAATGTCATCGGAGAACGTCCCGTACCGCATCAACAGGTGAGACATCGCCTCCGAATGGTCGAGCATAGGACACAGGTTGCTTGCGTCTCTCGTGTCTTCCTATTGATTGCGTGAAGCCCATTTGGCCGTGGCTGACAGACTTTCGATTCGCTTGCAGATGCCTGGCAGAAGGAGCCGAAGAATTTCTGATAAAGCCCGTGCAACTAGCGGACGTGAAGCGGTTAAGGGGTCACGTGAGACAATCCATGTCGTTGTCGGCATCGTCGAGTGATAGCTCAGGATCATCTCCCTACTCTATGAAGAGGAAGGTTACGGCCACGAAAGGCTTGCAAGTGCAACAAAGTCGGAAGAGTCTGCAGGTGCAGAGCCTCGAGAGACGGCCCCGTTTAAGTGAGCTTACCGTTGCCTGAAGCTGGTAGAGAGATGGAATGGGAGAGGAAAGGGAATTAACTTATCCCCCTGATTTTGGGTCTGATGAGCTGCGCTACATGTATAGCGAACGAGCACAGTAAAGTCACAATCAATCAATCTGCTCATCTGACATGATTTGACATGTCCAAGAAAGACTTGAGCTTTGGAGCAATCAAACGTCGTAGACTCTTGCAGCTAAGCTAAGCTCTGCTCTGCTCTACTCTAGAAAATCATTAGTTACAATCATTCCCTGTAAAGTTGCAGGCGGTGAGTTTTTGAGGTCCATGTGTACAGATCGACAGCTCGAGGAGAGGGCGGAGGATGGGATCACTTGACAGGACAGGACAGGAAGGATATCTGCAATCATTTCTGCTTGGAACTCTACATTGCACTCTCAGTGTCTAAGTGATGGATGGATGGATGGAGTCAGCTTGCTCTGCGCGTCTTCTCTGCAAGTGTACATTATTGTCCGTTTGAGCGGCAGTGAAGGCTTCCCCAAGGTCATTCACCCACAGCTAAGCTACATTACGTACGACGGCTGTTCCAACAGTTCACTACATCACCACCACCATCATCAACAACAACCATTCTGCTCTCGTGCGCAGGCACGAGCAGTCATAGCCCCTCAGTCAGCCATCGCGTAAATTGTAATTTTTTACGGCTTTCTAGTGCACACACACGCTGTGCAGTCGCAGGGATCTTTTGATAAACGTTCGAGGGTTCTGTGTACTTCCATTTCCGAGCGCTCCATATTGGCCGCTCGGAAACATCGGGTCTCATGAATCAAGAGTTGACGTACTTTTCGTTCCTAAAAATATTTACTCCCTAGACAGCGTCTGCGTCTGCATGGTGGATTATTATTGGATGTGTGCTCGAAAGGCATATTTGGTGTTGATCCCGATCGAGTACTATTGCTGTAACTTTGAGACATAATTTTCTGTACCAGTAAAGAATAAGGTTGCGAATCGTTCTGGACTCGGTACCCTCTTCCGTCCAATCCGCACATACTCCTCACTGTCTGTGTTTGTGTAATAGCCTTTCTACCGGTGAATATAATGAAAGCTTCGGCTATGGCTTCCAATTTAAGTCACAGTTGATGTTTCATTTCTGAAAGAAATATATAACCACATAAAATGTGATGGTATTCTTTATGAGTTACTGATCTCTGATCCTGTGTGAACAAACACACGTCTGATGATGAATGTGAGAGACAGAGCATTTGCGCATGTAGTGTACATGTCCGAGAAATAAACATCGGGGTTTCAGGTCAGTAATGTCGCCTACTCGGAACACTCTCGTGGACTGATCTGCGATAATTCAATCGTACTTGTGTACAAGAGCGGACCATTCACTGATCCAGCTAACCCTTCTCCCGCATGCCGGCAAAGATCGGGCCAAGCGACAGCTCTCTCCATTCGCGACAGAAACGCGGAACCACGTCAAGAGCATGCATTCATTCACCACCGAGATGAGCCGACCGTGAGAAGCTCAGCCTCATACGCCAAGCATTACGTATCGACCGAGAATGGCTGGCGTAGTCAGAGCTGCCGGGTGGAGGATTAAGGCCGAGCCGTAACATTGAATGTCAAAGAGAGAAGAGCGGCTGCCAGGAAGGGCCTGCGAACTTTCCCTCGGGATCCGTCCTGCCAAACCTGTAAACATCCACACGAATAGAGAGAGGACAGGACAGTACAGCATACGCCATACCCAGTGATCGTCAGTACGGTATGTATGCCGATACGACGCATGGAGTCAGACCGTATGTCTCATCCGGGCGAGGGGCGAGAAGTCTGCCTGCCCGCCATCGCCATTGCCCTCGCCTCTCATGAGGATTTCAACTTTCCCGGCCTGCGACGAAAGATTCGCGCAAATCTGGTGCTCTTTCCACTGACGCACTCACTCACTGACCCGCTTTTGTCGTGCGAGAAAGTTCTCCGACCGTGCTCGTGCTCGCATCGTCGTCCTCGTCGTCACATTCTGGCGCATCAGAACCATCTGCGCCTCCTCGTCGTCCTCAGTCTGTCAGTCTGTCAGTCTGTCAGTCAGACACTGGAGCAGATGCTGCGCTGCTGCAGCGCTGGGGCGCAACCCCTGTACCGCTGGTCCGATCCAGCTCGGGCTTTTGTCCATCAGATTCTCCTCTTATCCGGAGGGTCCGGCAGCGACGGCCATGGGTTTCGTGGCCCGGGTCTCGCCTAACTCCGGTTGCGGTCGTCGGCTAACTGCGGTCAGGAAGACTTGTGATGCACGTGGTCCGGTTCGGTCTCGGGCGCAATCTTTCCAGGTCAATTATGCGCATGGTAGGATTCAGTGAACAGCAGGGCGGGCGCTGCTGCAGCACTGATGCCCGAGGCTGCTGCGATTCGCACCGTAACGAGACCCGTGCAGAGGAGGAGGAGGAAGAGGAGGAGGAGGAGGAGGATAGATACTGTGGCTGGCGGAGGCGGTCTCGAAAGAGGCCAGAGGAGACCCCACCCAATTTAACTGAACCCAACCCAATCCAGGCCAGGGCGAGGGGATTAAATTGGTTGCGGCCCTCTGGAGGGGAGATCCGAATCATTCGATCATGCGAAGGTGTCATGTAGCTCATCTTGCTGTTGTCGTGCGAGTGGGGCGATCGAGCCAGTGAATGATTGATTGATCGATGGGCCGGATCAGTGACTGAATGCCCTCGAGACCCGAAAGGCCCGAGCCGTTCTTCTTCTTCTTCTTCTCTCTCTCTCTCTCTCTCCCTCCCTCCCTTCTGTTTCCGACTTCGTTCGTTGCTGCTGCTGCTGCAGCTGCTGGTGATGGTGATCTGCTGATCTGATGCTGCTGCTGCTGCACGCCGTGGCTGTCGCCGAGCCTCACCAGATCTCACAGCGCTCGAGTGAGAGACACTGCGAGGAGTCGTACCATGTTATCGGCGTCATTCATGATACACGCCACGTCACCGCCACGTCATCGACTCTGACTCATCATCGTTCGCTCTCCAGCGGCCACCCTGCGCATGAGGACATCGCAAAGCGACCACGTCCCACCACCAGATGGACATCGTGCGTCCGAGTGTGCATTGCTCAGAATATTCCAAACTCATTCCGGCGTGCCCCTCGTTAACCGAAACCCCGATCGTCCGATTCCGAATGAATAAAATCAAATCTCGCAGTGCAGATGACCGAAAGCTCTCGACGGCGCACAAGTTTTCTGTGGGAGTTTCCACGGAGGCAACAAGGCCGCTCGAAAAAGCAAGCAGATCCTTCTTTACATCCACATCTCGCCAATAATTTCGACATTTTGTTGTGATGCGAAAATGTTCCCAGAATATTAGATCACAAAGGGCTCCACGAAGCACTTTGCTCACGTCGGATGGACAGATGGTCGGGGCCGGATCAGATCGGAGTCGTCCCAATCGTCGTCCTAGTCCTCCTCCTAGAGCCGCTAAATTCGGGACTGCAATCTCGCCAGCGACAGCAGCAGCACCTTTCATGTGCATTCTCTCTCTCGTCACCGTGACCGTGACCCGCGCACTGGTCTCAGATTAATAGAGTCGTGCCTACGGGCTCTTGCAGCTCGCGCACCAGTGAGCTTCTCCCGTCTGCCTTACGACGGATAAAATCCGGGCTCTGGATATGCCTTTCCTTTCCGTCCAACTGCTGGCCGACGGATCGATCGTCCGCCGTCAGGCCTTTCTGGAAGGCCCTCATCACATCGTATTCTTCTGCTGCAGCTCTGGGCGAATGATATTTGGATCATACCGCTCCACCTTTCCCCGTCATGAATTCATATCCGTCGAGGGGAATGAACAGAGAGAGCGGCGATGGAAGTTGGGGTAGGTACTGGGGTTAGATCCAGGAAAGGCCAGTCTTTCGCGGATGGACAGACGGACGGACGTATGGATGGATTTCTCGTGTGTGTTCAGATGCCCTGCCGACATTACCGAACAGAAGGACTCCGACTTCGATCCGAGTCCAGACGGACAGATTGATGGATGGATGGATGGAATTCTCTTGTGTGTTCAGATGTCCTGCGGATATTGCCGAACAGAAGGACTCCGACTCCGATCCGAGTCCAGACGGACGGATTGATGGATGGATGGATGGATGGGTGGATGGGTTGCTCTTGTGTGATCAGATGTCCTACTGATGTTTTCGAACAGAAGGACTCCGACTCCGATCCGACTCGAGACGGACGGACGAACGGATGGATGGATTGCTCGTGTGTGTTCAGATGTCCTCAGATGTCCTGCCGATATTTGCCGGTCGGCATCGCGTGCATGGGTCTGATCCGTGCCGAACAGAAGGACTGTGACTCCGATCCGGGCCGAGTCTCCGAGGCCGTGCTAGCTTTTCGTCGCTCCTACATTAGCTGCGATCTTCTGCAACGCGCTCGGAGCTATGGTCGTAGCTGCGGAACTGTTGGGCCTTTCGGGCATGCTCGCGAGATGCTCAGCGAGCGACGACGACGTCGTCGTGGGCCGGCCTGGCGCAGCCTGGAGTCGGGACAGGCTCGAGAATGAAGACAACGGACTGTTGAGCAAAGCATGTTGGACGAGAGTAGGAAGGGAATCAAATCCGCTCACTTGCAACGACAAGCGAGGGAGAGATGGAGGGAGGGAAGAGCGGGGGAAAGAGCGATGTGGATTTTTGGCTTTGCTTTTGGTAGAGCGGAATCTTTCGGCAGCAGCAAAGTACAAGATGTTTTGGAGATTTCATCCCTCGCTGTACGACTCGATCGATGATGGGGCGGGGGTTCGCATGCCTTTTGGCTGTATGACTCGGGGCGTCGATGATAAGAGGATTTGCAGTTGATGCTTTTGCTGAGGCCAAGAGGATTGAATGAATGGCTGCCCATCTATCATCGTCCGTTCGTGCCAGCAGCACTCGAGCGCGGCCCTAGACGCTAGCTAGCTAGGTCGAGCTCGGAGCCAGACTCCAGGACTCCAGGCCTCCAGGCCTCCACAATCCTGCTCTGCTTTTGAGACAGGACCGCGCCTTGCACAAGCTTAATAAGATTCTCGCTTGGCCCCCACAGCAGCAGCAGCAGCAGCAGCGCTTTCCGTCTCGTCTCTCTCCTGGCCTGCCTCTCTCCGTCCCCACACAATAATCAAAAGTGCCCGAACGAGCCCTCGGCGTGGCATGCCATGCCATGGCCTAGCCTGGCACAGCATGACAAGACAAGACAAGACTAGGCTAGAGCACGCCAGACAGGACCAGACCAGACTGTTGTGGATTGGAATTCTCTCTCTCTCTCTCTCTCTCTCTCTCACCCCCTCAGAGAGTAAATGTCAACACAAACGAACTGCTGCTGCTGCTGCTGCAGCAGCAGCAGCAGGCGGCAGCTTTATCTGATTCGTACTGACCCGTCCAGCTCTGACTCGAGAGCTGCTTCACTTCAATTCAATTCAATTCAATACAATTCATTTCCTTTCCTTTCCTTTCCTTTCGATTCTGCAGATTGGAGATATTCCTCTCGGCCCCAGCCAGCGGTCAGCCAGCCTGCCTGCCTGCCTGCCTGCCTGCCTGCGGTCCAGCAAACGAACGAACTACGACTGACGCAGTAAAAAAAGGTCACAAGGGCTCTCGAGTTCTGGAGGGAGAGCGAGCAGAGCAAACGTATGTACGATCGATCGTAGAGCTGGGTGAACGTCCGTGTCAAGGCTGAGACCTACTGACTGACAGACAAAGCGCCTATACTCGAGTACGCTCGGTCACTGGCGTACCGAGGACCGAGTGGAGGAGGTCTGGAGTCTGGAACAAATCACGGTGCGACGGAAGTATCAGTAAGTAAGTAGCCACAGCCAGTAAGTGCAGAAGTGTACAGTAATGACATTGCGGGGGAGGTCGATCGAGTAGGTGTATTGTACGAAAGCTCAGCTTCAAACGAATGTTGCTTAGTTATCATTAATTAGGCGTTATGTCATACATGCACTGAGTGCTGCTTGTCTTGAACGGCACCCAGCCCAAAGAGGATTGAGATCTGGAGTGAGACTTTCAATGCGTGCGTCTAGACTCTGAACATAATTCAGTCAACACTGATCCTGGTGCGAAGATATGCAATCAGTGCCGCTGCTGAGCGAGAGAGCGAGCGAGCGAGCGACGGAGGGACGACGACGACGACGACGACTGCCCATGAATCCCATGATCGTCCTGCAGGATTTATTGCCTAGGTACAGTCTTCGTCCGTTTGGAGTTTCCATTCTTCCAAGCCATGACCAGCTCTCGATCCGAGTCATCCAACAGCTGTTCTGCTGAATCGCCATCGCTACCCCGTCGCCGGACTCTCGACCTTGTCCTGCTCGGCTCTTCATTCTCCTCAAACTTTGTATCATTTTGTCCTCCAGTGGAGGATCCTCTATCTTTCCTCGGATCATGTGGCAAAGCAAGATTTTCCGTTTTCAACGTTTGACCACATCCTCACCACATCACCAAATCGAGCGTGTGCATCGAACATCTGGCCTCCACAAGCCTACGATTCGAGTTATTTCCCCATTAAAAGGCCATAAAATATTGCTCCGAAGCATCCTTACAATTACTCGCGATGCGAACCTCAGCGTATCGTGTATCCTCGAAAGGACTGCATCTTCCTGTTTAGATTGTGCTCCTTTTAGATGGAACAGTTCTTCTGCCCTCACTGGACTTCTCATCTAATCTCTCGAGCCCCATTTAGAAATCATCGTCAAGGAACGTCAAGGAACGTCAAGGAATCGATTCCTGTAAATATGTAGACTTACAAGGACATGTGCTGCCCGGCTGCCTGCGCCGGAGAAATATACCTCTGGATGGTTCAAGATACGCCAATTGTGTGCCAATTTTCCGTCATATCATCCACGACAACCAACAGTGATTCCTGACCCTCTCCGATTTTGTGCTCGAGGAGATACTTCGAATCATCTGATCATTTATAATTAATGGCTTGTTGTGCCTATGCACTTGAAGGGTGTGAGCCAATTGTCACGATGTTTCAACCTTTTCTGGATATATATATTTGTGTTCATCTCACTTGATCTTTGGTTCACGACTTTTCATTTCTCTCACCATCCGCATGTCATGACCATGGACGGTGCAGACCTCTGGAAGTGCACGGCGTCAGTTGAATTCATTGTCTCTGCGTATTTCCGTGAAGTGAGGAAGGTCGAAAGTATAAAAATATGGAGGCAAAAAAGTACATCGAAGGGCAAGAGTGCACAACGGAGAAAAAAGTGGCAAGGTACCCTCGAGGAGATGAGGATTCCAACGGAACCAGTGAAAAGAGCAATAATCTGCATGATGTCATCACGAACATGTCTACATATCACACATCCGATCCTCCTAACATATAACCTGGAGCCAGAAACCAGAAAGTTGCAAGGTTGTCGAGGTCCGTTCAAGAAAACAAGGCTGTCGCATGGATAATGACGCGTAAAGTCCAATAATGAATCCATGGTCGATCTTGTGTGATCGAGCATACCTCCTGCCATTAAAATTCGCGACCCTTGCTGAGTTTGCCCTTTTGCACGGTCTACCGATTTGGCTTGGCAGTGACGTGAAGCGAAGTCTTTCGTTTCATGCAGTCGGACACACTGCAGTGACCGAGAAAGATTTGGAACATGCACCCAGTGCATTCACTTGCACTTTTACAATATTGTACCCTCGGCAAGATTTGTACGAGAGAGAGAGAGAGAGAAAAAAAGAGAGAAAGCTGGATTGATAGACTCGGATCGAAGCCGCGCACTGCAACTTTTGTTAGAAAGTGCACACCTTGCTAATTTTATCGCCCTGGGCATGTGTGTGGGCAGGCATAAAAAGATCGAGAGTCTTCAGAGGGATGGAGAGGCAGGGGGCATATCATCACCATCGGCACAATTAAAGAAGGGGACCTATACGTGCTGTATGAAAGTCTCGTGCACGGACCTGTCAAAAGCCGGACAGGCCCACGAAAGACCATCTCCGAACCAAATATTCAACTGTCTTGACCCCAGTAAGTCATAGGTTATGATGACCGAGATGGAGGTGGAGGAGAGGAAGGATTGGTCGTGTTGAGGGAGATTTGCAAGATCGGCAATGGAAGAGGACTATTACTGGGGACCGAGAGGGGAGGAGCACGACTCGGATGATGAGCAAGAGAGAGAGAGAGTGAGAGAGAGACATAAGTGGTCATGAGACCACGAGAACTAGAATGGGCGACCGAGCCCGGTCTATCACAGAAGTCTTCTCTGGTCGAGGGAATGGAAATTCTCTCCGTTGATGAGTGGCTATATTTCTGGGCGAGAAGATCCTGCAAAATCTTTTCCTACCAACTACTGTAAGCGCGACTTGACTCTGCGCCAGCTCGATGACATCCGCCATGTTCCACCTCCGGAACGATGATGAAGCCATGGGCCTAAATCTGGCACGCATAAAACAAACTGGCCTACACGAGGCATTGAATCGGTAACGATCTCCATGGTCTCACTAGTTGACAAACAGGTCTACTCGGACACCCCATTCCCATTCACCATGCTGCTCTCAATCGAAGTCTGTACTAACAAAACAACCCACACATATTTGCACGCTAATAACCCGCCACACCCAAAAACTCTCTCCTCCTCCTCCTCCTCCTACCACGAAACAGCTCAGGTCCAGCCATAAACTATAAATCTAATCATGAACGCTTGCTAATTGAGGAAGAGGAGGACGGGATCCCAGAGCCCGCACGCCATGCAGAGATGTCCAGGTCGATGGAGTGACGAGTCGTCCAGAAGAAGAAGGATTATACCGGAAATAGCAATAATTAGTTAGTTGCCAGGGCCCCGATTCTTAACGGAATGGACGAAACGGGAGAGAGCGAGTGCTGCGAAGGGAGATGGCGAGGGGCTGGCTTGCTGGCTTGGTCACTCACTCACTCACTAGCTGGTGAATGAGGTGGGACGCAAGGGGGTTTTGTAATACCGTGGGCATCATGCAACACTCGAGCAATCATGATGGGGAGTATCTAGTACCAGATCTCGCTATCTCTTTTGCTCTGTTCCTTTTTGTTTGCATGTCACAGTCCCAGCTCAGCTCCATCATCGCCCCCCATGCACGTGTTGCAGCATAACGGACGGCCCCGCCCTCCCCCGTCTCTACATAACTCTCCTATCCTCTCGACTTTCCTTTCCTCGCCATGCCTTGCCTTGCCTTGCCTTGCATCAATCGCTCCATCCGTGTGGCTGCAATCGTCAATCCACTGACTTGCCGACACTTTTCTTTATTTCAATTGCTTCGTGCTTGATTTTCGACTTCTCCTTCTCCCGATTTCTGTCATCTGCTCCTCTTTTTACCGGCCATGGCCATGGAAACCAGCCTGGTTCCTTGACTTTTTGGTCGAAATCCGTCCCGGAGAGTCGGTCAGATCCGAATCCTGGGTTTCTGTTGCAGCTATGGCCCGGTTCGTGCTGGATTTCATGGGATGAGCTTCTTTACAGTATTCTTTTCTCTAGATTATTTCAAGCCGTACAGATCCGTGGAACCAATTTGGTGGCTGCAAATAAGTCTAAAAGACGAACGCGAGGAAAGAGAAACGCGATTCTGATGCTGCTGCTGCTGCGCATATCTTTCTTTTTCTGTCGTCCTGACATGGACATCGGACGCAAGAAAAGTGAGTCCAACGAAACGAGGCGTTGATTGAATTGGATGGATTCCTAGCGAGGCAAAAATCTTTTCCCGTGCCCTGGATCACCTTGCCGCAAAACATGGCCTGATCATTGTGGGCATACTCCGCATACTCATCCACATCTTCATTTCGAGCATCATTTCTGTTGTGTCTTGGTTTTGTAAGTGTGTCTTTCTTTAGTAAATCGTGAAAGGTTAGATTCTTGTTGCTTTGTCCCATAAATGCGCAGTCTCGTCTACTCAAGGTCTGGTAATCATGTTGCCTCATACAATTTAATATCTTCATATCCATATCCGTATTATTATCTGAATATTAATATCCACGAAGCCTTCCTTCACTCTAGGGCATCTTACAACTCAAAAATTATGTCAAGGAGTGAAGTGGACACGCACCCAAGCGAGCCTAGAGTTGCATCTTGTCCACATACCTTACATAGTCTTCTCCAAGCGCTCAAGAAATTTAAGTTGACAAACTAATCTTGAAATACTTACAACTATCAAACCTCTATGTACATCATATTAACAAGATTAAGAAACAACGTATGTTAGGATTTCACTGATACAAAATAACTACAATTTCATACTCATAATTATTTTTTCTGAATATATATATTTTTTTTTGTTGGTGTATGGTTTGAGTTCATTTCAAACAACAAGACATAAATAAGGTAATGAAATCTAATACCATAGCATTATCATATGTCATATATGTAGAAATAAATGTTGGGAATTTTCATGAGGTAAATGTAAAGAGTGAAAGCAGGAAAAATATCAGTGGTTTACGTTTATGGCGACGCTACGGACACCAAATTTTTTTAATATAATTTATGAAACCCTACGTTTGTGTCATGTAGAGATACGACTAGACGAGCTCTTACATACCCCTAGATAGACTAACCCTGGTTATACTAACTAGAGTAGCACTAACGTGAATTCAAAAATAAGGCTAACAATTCTATCATTGAATCGAATTCTGAAATCTGTAATCTTCAAATGATGATGAATCATATGATCATTCTATGGGAAATTTCATTAGAAAAAAGTTATGTTTCTGTTATAATTTATGGACAAACTTATGTATATAAACTACAGTCGTAGTCAAAATATGATATAGTAAATCATATATATATCAAATTGTAATAAATTTTACTTGTGTATTTTATATAACTATTTTGCATATTATTTTAATATTTGCTTAAACTTTTTGAAGATATAATATTGATCAATGCATCAATTGGATTCAATTTGCTATTAATATTTAATATATCAATTATTTGATCAAAAGTGCATGTTCAATAAATTGACATATGATATCATATACTGTCTCATCTATATGAGCAAAATGAGGTATCCATCTATGATAAAATACCACAACATGCAAAAACAATCTCAAGTTTATAAAAAAAAGTGCAAACTTTTCTCATACTCTAAATCACATCCATCTTGATGATATCTGATTTTTGTCCATACCATCCAAAGAAATGACAAACTCATTTATTCTATATGTAGACTCTTACTCCAATAAGTAAAAGCGAACTTTCTTCCACCTTCATAGTGTACTTATATGAATATTTGATATGATTCTTTAAGCAAGCGACTAGTTAGCCCTCACTTAGGGCTAATTAGCCCTCACTCTACTAGGCTACTTAGGGCTATTCTCTGATTGGTCGATGCAAGGTTTAAGTATTCATGTGAATATAGCAACTATTTCTAAATAGTATCTTCCACCAATCAAAGAATTGCGTTTAGTAGGGCGGGGGCTAATTAGCTCTAAGTGAGTTATAACTAGCCCATCTCATCTTTAAAAACTTTCAACAATCATTCTAATCCATAATCTGATCATTTTCATCTCCTGTAGTTCTTTTGATATGCATATCATCCAAAAAGGCATGATCTACATTTCATAAAGTCTCTTAGAACTTTGTACTTTATAGTAATCACATGTGCTACTAAAGTTATAGCTCTTCTGGTAATGTGAACTCATAATGATGACGTTTTTGCTTCTTTAAGCAAGATGAAACTGTATGTAATTTGATAATAGATATCTCATGAAATAAATCGCTCTTTTTGCAAAAACTTTGGCAAATTCATAATATCATAATCAATCACGTTTTTATAATTAAAATTGCCAACTTACGCATTGACCGCATATCTTAAAAATAAATACGAAAAATTCTTTTTTGACATTATTAATCATGAAAAGTATGTTGCAAATGTAACTTTCAAGTTTTTTGTGAGATTTGCTAAATGAGACTTAAAAACTAATTTGTTCTCAAGTCTTAAGTAGTACATTCAGTAGTAAAAATCATCATAAGAGCTATTGCATAGTAT